TGAACTGTAATAGAATCTCGATAACTGCAGAGAAATGGGACTGAAAATTCAGACAACTATGGAGATCATACAACGATCGGGGTAACTAATTTAATAGGATGGAGTTCCATTTATCTGGTTCATCTCCAGTACGAATGGTCACTACTATCTCCAACTTTGCTTGTTGCTATATAATTTTCCCTTCCACTTGACAACACAACACAACACAACAGATTAGGTTTTCAGGCAATTATCAAGGTTGCATTTACCGAGTACCTATTGTATCTTTAATTGTACTTGCTGAACGAACGGTTCTCTTAATAGGTTTCTTTGTTTAACAATAATTCCAGTTTTAATCGAGACTAACAATTCATATAAAATTAGAGAACTGGTTTTCAAACGTGACAAATAGCTCAAATATACTACGCGAAAAATAATTGAAAACATTCGAACGATTATCTAGATTAAGATTTATTCAAAGTTATTCGAATAATTCACAACCTAGATCGTGAAGAAGCTACATCGTTATCTTGTTGAGGTTTCAATGATACTTGGATTTGAATTTTATCGATAGCATAAGAAATGTCAACAAGTACATTTTATCAATACCAATGGTAACTATTTCTATACTTGTTTGAGTCATTTATACAGGGTGAGGTACTTAAGACAGGCCACTTGAATAACTCAATTAATTTCGATGATAGACAATAGTGCTTGAAACGAATCTTGGTTTATTTCAAAATAATTTACTTGCATCTCACGCGAAATAAAGTTTTCTTACGTTATTTGTAGAATAAAAATTGAAGTGAATGCATCATTTCAAATTGTTGTTTATTATTTTATTCCAAATAACATGTACCCAAGCTTGATATAATTTCGCGTTAAAAAAGAGGATTGTATAGAGTTGCACGTTGTATTAGTACTGCAATTTATGGTCCGTGAAATGATAACAAACTGCGTAAGCAATATCGAAAATACGGAAAAACGAGGTTAGGGGTCTCACATGCAATTGTGCAACGTCCATACTGCACGAGCGTCGTGATCGAGGAAGGGGATCGATTAATACGCCAATCGAAACGGAAATGTTTACGTGTCACGAGCATTGCATATCGTATGCAATCAGAAACGGAATGTATCACCCATACTAAAAGATTTTTATCTATGCGCTAAAAGGATTTTATGTGAATGTTATTATATTGTTCTTAGTATTGTTCATTGATAAATATTAATTTATATTTTTATAGTACATTTGGAATAACAATCGTGTTAGGAATTATTTTAAGATATGGTTTCTCAAATTTGTAGTCTGGATACGTTTTCTTATTAATTTATATCAAGCCGTAAGAAATTTAGTATTTAATAAGAATTCACTCTCACGTGTATTGAAAATTACAAAATTCAAATTAGTGGTTATTTGCTTACATACCATTAAGTTCCCTCAGAAACCCAGAGAAATCATTCGAATGCAAAATCGTCTGTTGAAAATTGCAAACGTATGCGGGCTGCTAAAGCCCCGTTTTAATTAACAAATTTGTAGAGTGAAATCGAATGCCTCAAACGTTTTGTTTACACTCCGTTCCCAATACGATCACTGTGTTTTACATGTAGTAAATGATCGTTTTAATTAATCGAATTCTATGATGATATATCGCAATTCTGTAACCCAGTTTAACAGATAAATTGTTTTAAAAGTGTCTATAAAGTATATTCTTTTGTTAAATATTGTACGATGATTTAATTAATTAAAGTGAATCGATACAAGAAATAATCAACTAATCTAGTAACTTGTCATAGTTCTCGTTGAAGAGAATTATTTTTCATTTCAAACATAATTATTTAATTGTATAATTACCAAATGAATATGTATGAGATCAAATCGTTTTCGTGTCGCTAAAGATAACCAGATGCCATGATCGAAAACATTTAGATGTATTTTTATTTCGTTAAAGCAGGAAATGCAATGTCCGAACAATAAAACGTTCTGATAATGGAGGTTCTGCTGTATTTTATCGATAGTCACACGCAAAATTTCACAATTTTTCGCCAGCATTGCGTGCCCGAGCAGTCGATCAACAGCATAACGTAGCTTGCATGTTGCAATCCTGTTGCACGACATCGGTTCTCCTTTTTATGAAATAATGAAACCAGCACGAGCATGTATTCGCTCATTCGAGCAACTCGCCCCATCAACCGAAACTCACCTACTCGTCTATATGCCTCGACTCAATGGGATACGCGAATTAACATGGCTAGGTCAAGGGTGCAATTTTCCCCAGATTGGTTTTGCTGGATGCCAGCTCGCCGTTCCGCGTACTTCCTCTATTCTCCCAGGACAGCCCTGGGAGTTGAAAAGACGAGTCTCGATTCACCAACAATCAAGTAGCACGCGTAAAGAAAATGTGGACAGCGTGAATTAAATTTTGCTTACAAGAAAAGGTCTCCAAGTGTCTCCATGGTCTCCAATTCACTTTTCGATGAGCTTTTGTGCAGCGATAGGACTCAAAGAACTGAAAGTTTTTCGCATTAGATGACCAAAATTTATTTTATCGAGGTCTTATTGAATTGCACGTGGAGAATTTATCAAAATCGTATCTCTTGATCAAAGTTCCGCAAGTTTAATTAAAAATAGTTTTGGGTCTCTTCTGTGAAAGGGTAGACGTAAATCTGGAATTTTCCCTGCTAAAATTACGGTCTGAGGGTATTTTAACGAAAAGTGAAACAGAGTCATTATTAAAGTAGCACATATAAATTTTTCTTTATGGATATCGATTATTTATTAGAAAAAGGAGACAATATTCTGGTTAGGTAGCTCGGTTGAAAGAAATTGTTCTCGATATTAATTGCCTTTCACAGGTACACCGCCTGCATTATCGGAAAACACAGAGGCCGCCCTTTGAAGCCAACATTGGTAGTAATTCAGCTGTGCATGTATCTTGTCAACAATGAATTAATACAGCGAATTTTTCGTACATAAATTTCCACTTGCTTATTCTGTTAACATGAGAAATTCAAAATTATAGTATTAATAGCACGGGGAAAAATTCGATTTAATTTATTCAGGAATGCGAGCGTTATGTTATTGTATTCGATTCCAAACAAATATTTTTATTGGATGATGTTAGAGTAATGTCACATAAACAGAAATAAGAAAGACAAAATGAGAAAAAAATGAGAAAAGGAAAGTTACTTTATAGGGTGAAAAGTAAGAATTACTTTATTTTAACAAAGTTTACTGCTTTCCGTTTGTTCATTTTTTGAACAAAATTGTACACTGTGCAGCGTCGAAAATTTCTCTGCGTGTTACTAAATCTTCTATATTTCTGTTTGTTTTATCAACAATTCGTTTGTTTTGTTACGTAACATATGCTTCGTACACATAGTATTTCCAGAGAGACATTATTTTAGGATGAGAAAGTATGCTAACATCATCTTGGAGATCTTTTAACAGCTATGAAACGCAACGAACATCTATTTACCCCGTGTATAGCGGTACTCATTAAGCGCGACTAGAAGGACAATGCTGTCTCCAGGAGAAACCAGACGACTCCCAAGCAATTTTTGTCTTCGTTTTGGTCCTCGTGAAAGTTCATTTCCTTCAGCCTTGGTGTTTCCGGAGCGTACCCGTAGACAATTAACATAGGTCGCGTAAGAGAAACCTACGTGATGTTATTACTCCTCCAATAATGAGTATTTATGGAATCGACAATCGCTTCAAGAAGCCACTTAAATTTAGGAAGTATCACTTAGATGAACAACAAACCACTTATCTTAACACACAATCTTATAAAGGTCACTTACATTCTGTCTCTCCAATTTTAAAAGTGAAATTTAAAACGTCCAACATATTAGGAATATCACTTTACCTTGCCTTGTAATAATTTAGTAAGAAATTACCTCTCAAAGTATTTTTAAAAACAGAAACATTTTATCGAAGAATGATTTCTAATTTTATATAAAAGTTAAAATCAAGATAAATATGAAAAAAGCTGCTTAAAATATACTGTGTTAATTTCAGAGTATTCGAAATAAATGTGATAGCTTATTGTAAATTTAATTAAAAATCTTGTTCAAATTGAGATGGCAATAATTAATATTTATTAGCAGCAAGGTTCATTTAATTAGAAAATTTATTTCATTTAATAATTTTTAATGCCGTATTTACAGTGCAACGACTTAATCCCAAGAAAAATGTAGGTCAACGTTTCTTTGAGAACTATTGCGAAACGTAATTTCGATTTATAAACGCCTCGTACAATTTGCTAAATTGCTTCGTAACGTCATATCCTTACACGAAACAGTTCGAAAATTTCGCGTGTACCAAGTACTACCTGCGTACTTGCTAGTAAGCCAAGTAGTTCACCGAAGCTGATTATTCCATAAATACACACACCACTTCTACTTGATGTGAGAAGTTTTATTCTGCATTTAATTATAATTACTACAAATTCCATTCCTTTGAAACTGGAGTCAGAAATAATGTGGGATTCTGAATTTCGACATCCCTTTGAGTCTATCAATCATTTTACTGTTTAATTGATTATTTAATTAACTATTATTACATCTAACCTTCGATTTACACGGTATATTGGTTCCATAAAAGTTTCGTATATGTCGTGAGTGACATTTATACGGAAAATGGGGAGACGGGTTGTTTGTTTCCCAATATAAATTGAACGATCTATTTTTATATTTGTTTCACATAACTTTCATACACGAAACACTCTTTTAACATTTAAAAACAAGTTCCATCTTTTCTTTTCATCAGTTGGGTATAAGTTGTTTATCAAAGTTTGTTCTTTATTTCTATTTTGTCACTTAAATAGTGTGTCAATGAACATACGTATTAATATGCTTGGTTGAATTGAAACTCAATTCCTTAACACGAAGTCGTTCTGTGTTATTTCCACTTTAACGCGTCGTTAAGTAGCATGTAAATCGAGGGCTGAATATGTTTGAATATATTAAGGGTTAATTGGAATACTAGAGGTATTACTATGTATAGTGTAAATCTACACACTCACCATTCAGTCATGTAATGTCTACTGATGATGAAGACTGGCGAAGCAGTACGATTGCTTTCGGTGCCGTTCAGGCTATTGTCTGTCCCGTTCAAATCCATCCCACCAGGTAAAAATCACGGTGGCAGTAACCTTCAGAGTCACTGACACCTTCACCTCAATACCCAGTCATCTTTCGAGCATTCTGAAATTAGTATAACGAATCATAATTGTAGCAGAATTAATACGTGGAGTTTGTTTTGATCAATCTCACAAAATTTAGCCGCGAAACTTGAAAATTGTTAAAGTAGAAACGAAATATTGTTAAATACAAAACTCTTGATATTTATAGAACGTTTCTCATGCAAAAAGTACTATTATATAATTCGAATTCATTTACATAGTGTGTGCTGTACAGAGCTAGTAAATTTGCGAAACACAGGAATGCGGGGTTCGATTGTTTAACATCGTGACTTTAAAGTCACCGTCACCGTATTTTCCGCGTATCACCGAGACCCTAAACGTAGAAACGTGATCAATGGTGAGGATAGAGCAAATGGAAAACCTCTCGTTCGTCCCGTTCGCAAACTTACCAGCTCCCTACAATAGGGAAACGTAAATATTTTTTTGCGTTCATGGCACGGTACGATGATTTCTGCGGAAACCAGCGAGAGTTTAAATTAGGATTATTACAAAATAAAATCCCTTCGAGCATTTCATTTTGTATCCAAATGGAAATAAATTTGCCACGTGAACAAATTTTGGAAATGCGTGGTATAATATTTAAACGTTTAACTAGAATTTATTGTAAAGTTGTTACAATTTTCGTACATTGTAATCAGTTATCTAAAATTCTTCGAAAATTGAAGTTTATTTTTCAATAAACGTTCTACTGTGTAATAAAGACTCTTTGTAATATGTTCTTCCGCTTGAAAGGTCGATTTAGTTATGACAGCAAATCGATATACCGATGTTCATCGTTCAAAACCGATCGTCTTTTTACGTGTTACAACAATATGTTCATACAGAACCATCAAAACTTAGTTTTGAGAATATTGTATACATTCTTAAATAGTTGTTCAAATTATTTTCTTTTGAATTTCTTTAATATTAACACATAAATTGTGATATGTGAAGTTAAAACACTCATGTACTATTATTTTTATTAGGAATTTAAGATTTGTGTTTTAAAAGTTATATTGTCAGCATTAGATAATTTTGTTGGAAGAAAACATTAAGATATTGAGAAAATTTTCGCGAATACGAGAAATGAATGGGTACTCTAACGAACGTTGAATACCAATTAAGTAAGTTTCATAAACTGATCGTGAAGTTGCACCGAATACAAATAATCATATTTAATCAAAATATCACCTAAAGCAGACTGCATGATATCGAATAGCAGAAAAGCATACATGATTGCTTTTCATTTAAACATTAAATTTAATTAAAATTGCGCAATTTCGAGATTGTAAATCACAAAACAAACAACTTCAATATATAGATTATCGGTTAGTTGTCCAGGTATAATAAAGCTAATGTAATTAATTTAAAATTGAGACGATTTTAGGAAGCGCTAATAATTTCCTGCTTAGGTACGTTCAGCATAATTCAATGTATAAGTATCCGTGCTCGACGGTAAATTCTTTTTTGCAGCAATAAAATTATGAAGGTCAAAAGAATGAATTGCAAAACGTGTCTCGCATGTCGCACGATTAAATTGCTATGATTTCACTTGTGTTTGAAACTAGTATTTGCATGATGAAAAACGAAAAAAATATATATTTCTCTTTTAGTAACATGGTATGTACTAGATTTATTTTTTTCGTTATTGCTATTTCATAGTACTTGAACATTCGTTTAAATTCAGAGATAGATTTCCTTACAAGACTGTCTTCTAAAAAGTTTAGAAACCACTGATCTAAACAGAACAACACATTTAAAAGTTTCTTCCTTGTTAACGAGTCCAAGCTTTCCAAAGTCTTATAGTAGAATTAGACCAACCAACGAGGAGTTTCGTGACAGTAAATTTCTTAGTTCGACTGTTTAAAGAAGCAGTAATAAGAAAAGAGTAAAATCAAAAAATCATCTCAAAATCTTCGACGAAATTGTACAATTTAAAAAAAAATGTCAAATATTATGGTTAGTAAATGTCATTTAACAGATCAGCTTAAGCATTACAATATTTCGTTATAATTGTATTTGCTGCATAACGTAGTTGCATTGTTCGTACAAATTAACCCAGGCAAGTAACAAGAAACCCTAATTTTGTTTATTGTGTCTGTGTATTCTGTGTATAAAGAGGATTCAGCGTCAGTACTCGTGATAACCGTAAAAGCTGTAGGAGAGTGATGTTCCATTTCGACGACAAAACAATAGTATGATTTTCGTGAGCATCGTTATAATAGGTCATGCTAATTGGGGCCTCCTACGGTACTAGAAAGAAATCCCTTTCTTTGTTACATTATACATACTTTCAACATTGGTTCCTCTTTAGAGACTAGCGCATACATCAAGTAAAGATTCTAAAACGTAATGAATTTATTCGTAAACGCTGCTGGGATTGATGCTTTTGTTAGACAGGGACACCTGAAGATGAAAGGTCTAATATAATGACGAAGAAAACGGTACCAAGTAAAAGAATAAAAACGTTTTACAAATACAAAGACAAAGCTGACTGATTATAGTTCTCCTAATTAAAGTGGAATCTTTGTTATTCGAGTTATTCGAATAAGATGAAGATACATCATTTATTATGAAATAAAAATTATAAAAATAATTTGAAAATCTTCTTCGTTATTCGCTCTATTTTCCCCAGTTCGTTCGACTTGATATTTCACATATTTTTCATAACGGAGGTATTTCAATAGAGCTACATCCGTGCTTCGTATAATCCGAGGCCTCATTTCTGAATCACAGAACGACAGGGTATATTATTTTCGGAAGTATATTCCTCTTACTTAATTTCTCGTTAACGTAGATAATTAAATTCACAAGTGTTGCTTGCAGTAAATCCAAGTTTCAAAGTGCTTAACAAACATCAAACGAGTAAATGCGAAGTACATCCAGGAGATATTTCGTGAACTTTGAATAAGGTCCTTGTATCATTTTCTACGGAAGATAGAAGCTATCGCGCACGTAGTTTCCGACTCGAAAATAATATCTTAAAATCTTTTCTCCTCGAACGAAAAACGTAGCTCGAGATACTTGCTTATCCTTTCCTCGACACTCTACACCTTTCAGTATTCTTTGCCTCATTTCGCGCTATCCGAACGCGAGGAAATATCGCGGAAGTCGATCTGCCCGTGTCTTATCGTCTTCGTACGTCATGTTCGTCAGGATGCGAGCGGGCGATACATTTTTCCCATCCTTGCAGATCATAGCGGTCGCGTTTGGTGGTAGGGTTAAACGAGCTATCGTGGCACATGTCGTGCCTCTGTGTGCAGACGATATGAAACGACCAAGAGATAATGAAAATGGAACGTGGATAGGACCGACGCTACACAATTCTGCGACGGCGTAAAGTAAGAAGAGTCTGACGTGTCGGAAATTTCAGGAAACGAGTGCTTTAATGATCGTAAGACTGCAGAAGATTAGAACGCTCGCGCAATCAACGAACCGATTTGCAACAAGCCGAATATGAAACACGATATAAACAACATTTATTCGACCTAATTTTTACACGGATGTTTTTGAATAATTGGAGATTACTCGGAGAGGAACAATTATTTGGTTTGAGGAGGAACGAGGGAAGAAGTATTATTTGTGGAATTGTGTTACGGAAAACATGTTTTTCATTCCACGCGTTATAATTGCGACGGAAAATTCAAACTGCGCCAGCGAGATACAAGAGGAGATAGAATGAAACTAATTATCGTAATTGTTTGAGAAACAGCGTGGGTAACTGGATAGATTATGTGTGAATGTGATAAATCACTGATTATTTAATATTTTATAGTATCGTTTAGAAATACAAGTTGATTTCATTTTGGTTAGAAGGTCGTTATTTGTAACAGAAAAAAAAGGAAATTTGACGTATAGTTTATTTTATTATAAGCCCGTTTCAGAATGTAGAAACTTATTAAATTGAGAAGGCAGCAAAGAATGTATTTTTTTTATTTGATTTATGTTCAACTATATTAGTTTGCAGGTTCAAACAAGTCAAATATTTCCAGTACTGGCAAAGAGTGTAGTCTAAATAACTGTTTTTAAGTGACTCGAGAAATAAAAATCTAGCGAATTTAAATCTGGGCGATGCGAAGTCGGCGAAGACCAGACAATTGGTCCTGCAGGACCTATCCATCAGTTAGAAACTCGTTCGTTCAAAAATTGCTTGGCTACTCGGCTGAAACAGGGCGATGCACCACCATGCATCAATCTCATGCCATGTGCAATCTAATGGTTATTCTTCCAATAAATCATGCAAATAATTACTGCAGAAATTGACACAAGATTTACTTGTCAATCTTTCATTAATCAAAGCAGAATTATCGAATTATTATTAATCAAAAATTGTTATAAATATGTGAAATATGAAATATTCAACATACAGGGTGTTCGGCCACCTCTAGCAAAAATTTTAATGAGCGATAGTAGAGGCCAAAATAAGACAAAAATCAAGAATACCAATTTGTTGATGGAAGCTTCGTTAAAAAGTTATTAACGTTTAAAGTGCCGCCCTTACTGAATTTTTTTCTCGAAAATACGCAAGATTTCGGGGGTATGTCTATTCACCAAAAATGACTGTAATTGAACCCTACAACCGAAAATAATTTTTCCACAACGATTTGCAATTTTTCAATTTTCTCGAATAATTTCACAACTTCTCTATTTTTTTTCTCGAAAGTGGGCAGGATTTCGTGGGTATGTCTAATGACAAAAACTGATTGTAATTGACCCCCGCAACCGAAAATAATTTTTCCACAACGATTTGCAATTTTTTTTCTCCGTTGAAAAATTTAGGCACCTAATTGGATTTTCAGTAAGGAATTTTTTTCTCGAAAGTGCGTACGATTTTGAAGGTATGTGTAATGATAAAAAATGATTGTAATTGATCCTCGCAACCGAAAATAATTTTTTTAGAACGATTTGAAAAATTTTTTTTCGCCGAAAAATTTCAACACCTACTCGATTTTTTTTCTCGAAAGTAGATAGGATTTCGGAGGTATGTGTACTCATCAAAAATGATTGTAGTTGACCCCCGCA